ATTTTTTTAAAAGTACCTATTATTCATTATCTGTTGTTACTGTCATTATGTGCTTCCCAGGACTCCCAAGAGCTTTGCTTCTAGGCCAGTTGATTAACGTCTTTGATGTGTAAGAATCTTCTGAATTTGGAAGTTCTTATCCTTCTCCACCATTTACACCTTTCTGGCACCAGAGTAGAACCATATTGGTGATGGGTATTTTTGAGATGAGTAGCAGGGCTGGGAGTGGAGGTGACAGCTGAGAGACTTAGCAAAGCTAGAGGGGTTGCAGAGAGGCTAATGAGGTGGATACTCAAGCTTAGACTAGCTTGTGATGGGCCTTTGCTCAGCTGTCATTCATGAATGCCAGCATGGCAGCCAATGCTAGAATCGGTCCCTTGGACATCTGTTGATCTCTTTGAAGTCTTTGCTGATTCTCTTAAGTCAGAGTCCTTGCTCTTCTGGGCTACCTTGGCACTTTTTGTTCCCACGTATCTCCCTCAGCTTTGTAGCAAATAGTTAATTGTCTAAATGCCTGTTTCTTCTATCACATATGTCTCTTGACAGTAGGAATCTACTCTCCTCCATCTCCGTTTTCTCATAAGCCATAGATTTTTTTTTATTTTTTTATTTTTTTAATTTTTTTTTTTACAAATAGTTTATTGTCAAATTAGTTTCCACATAACACCCAGTGCTCATCCCCACAAGTGCCCTCCTCCATGCCCATCCCTTCCTCCCCCCCACATCCATCAGTCCTCAGTTTTTGTCAGCATTCAAGAGTCTCTCATGGTTTGCCTCTCTCCCTTTCCCCCACCATTTCCGCCCTTCTTCTCCCCCTTGTTCCTCCGTCAAGTTCCTCCTAATCCTCCTATACGTGCAAACATATGATATTTGTCCTTCTCTGCCTGACTTATTTCGCTCAGCATAACACCCTCAGGGTCCATCCATGTTGCTACACATGGCCAGGTTTCATTGTTTCTCATTGCCATGTAGTATTCCATCGTATAGATAAACCACATCTTCTTGATCCATTCGTCCGATGATGGACACTTAGGCTCTTTCCATGTTTTAGCTATTGTTGAGAGTGCTGCTATGAACATTGGGGTACATGTGCTCCTATGCATCAGCATTTCTGTATCCCTTGGGTAAATTCCTAGCAGTGCTATTGCTGGGTTCTAGGGGAGTTCTATTGTTAGTTTCCTGAGGAACCTCCACACTGTTTTCCAGAGGGGCTGTACCAGTTGACATTCCCACCAACAGTGTAGGAGGGTGCCCGTTTCTCCACATCCTCGCCAGCATCTAGAGTTCTCTGATTTGCTCATTTTAGCCACTCTGACTGCATAAGCCATAAATTGTAATATCCCACTTGTAATTGTTGCTCAGTAAATCTTACTGAATCAAGTGAACAGAGGCGCCTGGGTGGTTCAGTCGGTTAAGCATCTGACTTCGATTCAGGTCATGGTGTCACAGTTCTTGGGTTTGAGCCCGCATCAGGTTCTGTGCTGACAGCTCACAGCCTGGAGTCTGCTTTGGATTTTGTGTCTCCTTCTTTGTCTGACCCCTCCCTGCTCACACTGTCTCTCTCTGTCACTCAACAATAAATAAATGTTAAAAAAAAATTTTTTTTTTAAATGAACAGAGCTGGCTGTCTCTGTGGAAATTCTGCAGCGAGTTTCCATGTTTATTAGTTGTATACTCTGTGATGAGAATGGAGAGTATCCCTGGAGGAAAAAAATCATCATCAGAAGTAACATGTAAACATACATGTAAATACAACATGTAAATAACTCTAGGTTATTATGGAGCTTTTTTGCGGGGGGACAACTTTTCTTGGGATATAATTCACACACCATACAGTTCACTCATTTAAAATGTAAAAATCAGTGGTTTTCAGTATGTTTGCAGAGTGATGCCACCATCACCACAGTCAGTCTTAGAAAATATTCATCATCCCCAAAAGAAACCCTATGCCTATTCCCTCCAGTCCTTTAGACTTAGGCAACCACTAATCTATTTTTTGTCTCCATAGATTTGCCTATTACATTTTATATAAATGGAATCATACAATATTTGTGCCTAGCTTCTTTCACTTAGCATAATATTTCCAAGGTACATCCATGGTGTAGCATGTGTCACACCTAAAGCTTGGTGGAAGTTAAAGGGCAGGTGATGCTTGTTTTTTGGCTAGTGGTTGTGGCTCAGGCCAGTGATGAGTTTGACTGTTCTCATGATGACCAGATCTATAGGCATACGATGGAGATATTGTGGGTTCGGTTTCAGACCACCACAATGAAGCAAATATTTCAATGAAGTGAACCAAATGAATTTTTTTAGTTTCCAGTGCATGTAAAAGTTATGTTTAACTATACTGTAGTCTATTAAGTATGCAATAGCATTATGTCTAAAAACCTGCATAACTTAATTAAAAATAACTTTATTGCTAAAAATTGCTAACCATCATCTGAAGATTTCAGTGAATTATAATCTTTTTTTGGTGGAGAATCTTGACTCAGTGTTCATGGCTGCTGACGGATCAGATTGGTGGTTGCTAAAGGTTGGGATGGCTTTGGAAATTTCTTAAAATAAGACAGCAGTTAACTTTGTCACATCAATTGACTCCTTTCACAAATGATTTCTCTGTGCCACCCAATTCTGCTTGATAGCAGTTTACCCACAGTCAAGGTTCTTACACAGTTGGGGTCAGTGCTCTCAAATTCCACCTCTGCTTTATCAGCTGAGTTTATGTAATATTCTAAATCTTTTGTTATCATTTCAACAATCTTCACAGCATTTTCACCAGAAATAGATTCCATCTCTAGAAACCATTTTCTTTGCTTATCCATGAGAAACAACTCCTCATCTGTTAATGTTTTCTTGTGAGATTACAGCCATTTAGTTACATCTTCAGGCTTCACTTCTAGTTCCCTTGCTCTTTCCACCACATCTGCAGTGACTTCCTCCACTGAGGTCCTCAGCCCCTCAAAGTCACCCATAAGGGTTGGACTGTGCTTCTTCCAGACTTATGTCATGGTAATTTTTTGACCTCTTCCCATGAATCACGAATATTCTTAATGGCATCTAGAATGGTAGATCCTTTTCATAAGGTTTTCAGTTTGCTTTGCCCAGATCCATCAGAGGAATTGCTGGAAGCTACAGCCTTGCGAAATATAGTTCTTAAATACTAAGACTTGTGACACTCCTGGTTGGCTCAGTCAGGGACACATGCAGCTCTTGATCTCGGGGCTGAGTTTGAGCCCCACACTGGGTGTAGAGACTATTAAAATAAACAAACAAACAAATAAAAGGACAAACTTAAAATATAAGACTTGAAAGTTGAAATGACTCCTTGATCCATGGGTTGCAGAATGGACATTGTGTTAGTAGGCAGGGAAACAGCATTCACTTCATTGTACATCTCCATCAGTGCTCTTAGGTGACCAAGTGCATTGTCAGTGAGGAGCAATAGTTGGAAAGGAATCTGTTTTTCTGAGCAGTAGGTCAACAGTGGGCCTAACATCTTCAGTAAGCTATAGTATAAACAGATGTGCTATCAACTAGGCTTTATCGTTCCACTTATAGAGCACAGGCAGAGTAGATCTAGCATGATTCTTAAGGCCTTTAGGATTTTCAGAATGGTCATTGAGCACTGACTTCAACTTAAAGTCACCAGCTTCATTAACCCCTAACAAGAGAGTGAGTCTGTCCTTGGAAGCTTGGCATCGAAGCTTTAGCTATGAAAGTCCTGGATGGCATCTTCTTCCAATAGAAGACTGTTTCATCTACATTGAAAAATCTGTTTAGTGTAGCCACCTTCATGAATGACCTTAGCTAGATCTTCTGGATAACCTGCTGCAGCTTCTGCATCAGCACTTGCTCTTTTACCTTGCACTTTTATGTTATGGAGATGGCTTCTTTGTTTAAACTTAATGAATCAGCCTCTGCTAATTTCCAACATTTCTTCTGCAGCTTTCTCACCTCTCTCAGTCTCCATGGAATTTCAGGGAGTTAGAGCCTTGCTCTGGATAAGGCTTTGGTTAAAGGGAAAGTTGTGGCTGCTCTGATCTTCCATCCAGACCACTAGAACTTCCTTTATATCAACCATAAACCATTTCTTATTATTCATGTGTCCACTGGAGTAGCACTTCTAATTTCCTTCAAAAACTTTTCCTTTGCACTGCAGCTTGGCTGACTCACTCAAGAGGCCTAGCCTGTGGCCCCTCTCAGCTTTCAACATGTCTTCTACACTATGCTGAATCATTTCTAGCTGCTGATTTAAAGTGAGAGACATATGACTCTTCACTTGGAGGCAACTATAGGGTTATGAGTTGGCCTAATTTTAGGAGATTGAAATTATTGTTGTGTCTCAGGGAATAGGGAGGCCCAAGAAGAAGAAGAGAAACAGGAGAATGGCTGGTCAGTGGAATAGCAGAATATACACAGTTTTATTGAGTTCTCTCTCTTCTATGGTCCCAGTTTATGGCACCCCAAAGCAATCATGATAGTAACTCAAAGATCCCTGATCACAGATCACCATGACCAATATAATGATAATGATGAAAACCTTTGAAATATTCTGAGAATTACCATAATGTGACACAGTGACACAAAGGAAGCAAATGCTTTTGGAAAAATGGTTCCAATAGACTTAATTGACCTAAGGTTGCCACAGGCCTTCAATTTGTAAAACAAACAAACAAAACCTCACTATCTGCAAAGCGTAATAAAGTGAAGCTCAATAAAATGAGGTATGCTTGTATTTCATAGACATTTCATAGAGGAGTTCTGAACTTGCTTCTCTGAACAATTACAAGAATTAAGCAAGACAGTGTCAATGAGTACCTAATCCAATGCCTGGCAATCTCAGTGTCTATTACTTGCCTGTGTCCTATTTCAGGTTCCTGGATTCTAGTAAGAATTTGGCAAGGTGAAGACAACAGATAAATTTTTATTTGGTACTTTGAGTTTAATTTACTGATTTTTCCCTCTCTCCTTTTTTTTTTTTTTTTTTTTGTCTTCCCAAGGCTATGCTTTTCTGCTGTTCCAGGAGGAGAGCTCAGTGCAAGCGTTGATAGATGCCTGCCTGGAAGAAGACGGGAAACTGTACCTGTGTGTGTCAAGCCCCACCATCAAGGATAAACCGGTAAGTAATATGAAGTCAGCTGTTGCTTTTCCGGAGCACATATGCATTTGGAATAGCTGAGCACCTCCTTTTTGTAATGGGAATGATGGTAACTAGGATCCTCTTACCCAGGGTGACCTTGCTATGCAGTAGAGCTGGACTATTGTTGATGAGAAGCTAATAACAAATTACTCAGTATTTCATTTTATACCTTTGGGACCACATGTAAACAAATGTGTCCTTGTCTTTCCCTTTACAGCTCTTTTAAGCTAATTCCTATTCAGTAACTCTGAATTGAAGTAAACAGTGCTCTTAGCGGTTTTGGCAACTGGTTTCTGTCACTTTTCAGATCAAGGACAGGAGTAATTTATTAAAAAAAAAAAAAGGATCATAATCAGCAATGTTTATGCCCCTGTGAGTGCAAGGCATTGTGGGTGGTACCCACAATTGGCTTACCTAGAGCTTACACTCTAAAGCAAATAGCTTCAAACAGAGTGAGAGAGGGCAAGGACAGAGAACATGAACCCCAGACCAAAAATAAATGTACACTTATACAGAGTTTGTGGTTAAAAGTTTGTGGTTTCTGAGCCAAAGCATGTGAATAAGTCATTGGGTAAGAGATGAAGACTGCTTCCTTTCTCCTGACAGGGGTTATCAGTGAAGAAGGGGCAAGGCTGCATTCAGAACAACAAAAACAGAAATTGGTTAACATGGCAGAGATAGGCTCAAGGGAATTGTGGAGGGGGTGAGTGTTTGTCAAGAGCTGGTGGTAGGAGTGGGAAATAGAGTAAAAACTCCTATATGGACCAAGGGACTGAGGCAGGTATCCCTCCTGGGGCCTGCAGCGTCCCCTGTCAGACTTACACCAGATGTGTGGGACTTGCTTGGCATTTAAGTTTACTCTCAGAAATGTGCATGGGGAACGAGTTGGGGTCAGAAGTAGAAGCCTTGACTCTAGCATTTAGATTATCTGCTTGGCTCAGAATAAGTCACCTAATCCTTGCAGAATCTTAGATTCCTCATCTGTAAAAATGGCAGGAATAACGGTTTCTCTCTGCGATGTTGAGCAGCTCAGATAAGAGGAAAATGAACATGAAAGCACTTGGTACTTGTGCAGATGTAACTGGATGATGCCATTAGAGCCTCATGGTGCTATAGCCAGGAGAGCAAGATCAGAGCTTATTATCTACATGGTGACATCCACTGAAAAGAATGGTGGTGTCTAGAACAGGGTTTACAGTTGACTGCAGAAGAATGACGCTGGGACTCGTCCACCTCCAAGGGGAAGACTACAGCATGGAAAGCAGAAGGATTTACAAAGAATGGAGATACTGGGTTATGGAATAATCAATGTAAAAGAAGAAGCAGCAAGAATTTTAGCAACTGTGACAGTGCCACCACATATTGCACATCCTGGGGCCATTACCAAATTTTTATAGCAGTTAGCAGACTTAGATAGGGTAGCTATGCGGGTGGGGAAAAAGAGTAGGGGACCTTTGCTAGCCTCAGTCTTAATTTAAGTTGTGGAAAGGCTGTGTCCACTGTGGCTAGGATAGGAATGCGTAGTGTTTCCTCTGAACAAATAATGAGAAAGCTGGAATAACATCGCAAAACCTCTTTGGAATAGTGTGAGATTAGAAAGACTGACCCCAATTTGGCATGGTCAGATGTCTGAAAGGTAAATGGTCAACCTCCAGAGAGCCTCTGCCATTGTAGGAGAAGATTAGAAATATATTTATATGTTAAAAAAAAAAAAGCAGAGGGGTAGAGATCCACATGGAGATAGTTATGCCCAAGGTAGACTAGGAAACTGTTGAACGGAGGGGAGGAGACTGGCGACGAGTAGATGGGCTTGTGTACCTTGGAAGGATGTCCCTCGCTCTGTGGGAAAAGGAGGCTAATACACCTTCTCAGGGCACGCTTCACCAGGACTGGACATCTCTTGAGAAGGGAGTGGTTGCAGATGGAGGTGGTATGTTGATTGCTTTCCCTCCAAATACATGTATTACCCTGAGCATAAAGGACTTTTGAAAATAATTAGTGTAACTATCTGTTTTGGAAATGTTTATGGGGAAACTAACTTTCACTGTTTGTGTTTCTACAAATTTCTGCCTTATTGCAGTTTTCATTTTCTGAACTCAAGTGAAGCAGTTTTATTGGAGCTTGGTGAATTCTGAATGATGGCTGCCGATCACGTATTTCTTTAAGCCAGGCATACTCAGAATTTCCAGCATAAACAATTTGAATAAAACTTAGGATGGGAAACAGAAAAGTCCCCAAATACCTGTAATTCTAATGAACTGGATCCCATTTTGGGTTCCAGCTCTTTTGGTTCCATTTTTGAAACCTTCCCTTTGTTGACTTGAGCTCCACATCTATCACTCCCAGCCTCGTTTGGCCACACTTCCCCACCCAGGTTTCAGTACATTCCACCTCGTTTTGGATGCTCCCACAGAAAGTGAGAGCTGGGTTGAACTCTTGGGAGTAAGTGAGGACCTTGGCAATAACTCAAGGTAAAGTCAACCTTTGGAACTCATTCACCAAACCTTCTGAGCTATGGCTCTTTCTTGCTTTTTCTAATTCTTGGCTTGGCTACCTTTCAGGATCCTAGTGCCCTCATTATGTTGTTTAGTTCTCTCTGATCCTCCCTGGATTTCTCCTTGGAAATACACAGTGTTCCAGAATGACCTCACAGATTTTCTATCCATTAACGTTCTCCCTTATTCTGTTCCCCCAAATCAAGCTCCCATTCCCTTTGTGTGGATGAAGTTAATCAGATTGTTTTCCTAATACAGAGCCTGATAGCAAGGTCCCCTCCCACCTTTCTAAGATCATGTTTGCTTTTTAACTCAAATCCCAAATCAGTGGATTTCTAATAGTACTAGGAGATATTTTTGGTCTGTGATTACCTTTCATTAAATAACTCCACTCATACTACCCTATGTATAAGTCTGACCCTGAAAGATAACAGAAGACACTATATTGATAGCTTGATTAATTGACTTCTGAGTCCCAAAGACTGGGTAGACAAATTGGCAACAGCAGGAACTATTGCAGATCTCCTAGATATGTGACTTTTACCGCTCCTCCAGCAAGAGTTCTGTAGCTCAGATGTTCCAGGTACCCCAGAGGATAGCTGTGTTCTTGCCCAGGCTTCCAGTGAAGTGGACAGACATTGTGACAGTGGTTCCTCTTGTCAAGGTGATTCCACTTTTTGAATGTGTAAATAGACTGAACCTGAAGGTTCAAAATAGCAAACTGATAGAGCAGGAAACCTGCTGAGTCTAACAGAGATAGGGGCTGAAAAACAGTAACCTTGAAGGAGAGATGTGGAAGGAGATGTTTATGATTCTTACTTTCTAAAACACTTTGGCCAGAGATGCGGGATAGTAAACACCTTGAATGGAGTATTCTAGAAGTTTCCTGCTTCCTCCTCTTTACAGTTTATAACATAATCACAATTTATAAATATCCAGAAATATGACAGATTGATTTTGCTCTACAGTTGACCCTTGAGCAATGGAGTCGGGGTGTTAGGGGTGCTGCTGCCCCATGTAGTTGAAAAATCCACATATAACTTTTGACTCCCCAGAAATGTTATTAACTGCCAAAATCCTACTATTGACCAGAAACCTTAACAATAACATATACAGCTCATTAAACCTATTGTATATATATTATATACCATATTCTTGGAATAAAGTAACCTAGAGAAAAGATAATGTTATTAAGAAAATCATAAGGAGTTATGTGGAAACTAATTTGACAATAAACTATTTGTAAAAAAAAAAAATCATAAGGAGGAGAAAAAGCATAGTATAGTGTATTAATAAAAAAAACCTACATATAAGTAGACTTACGTGCTTCAAACCTGTATTGTTCAAAGGTCAACTGTATATTTAAAACTGTCTTAGTAAACTGAAGGGTGTTTATGTAAGGTCCCTTATTTAGCCTGTTGCTCAGGTAACATGATCATCTACTCAAAATTTGAAAAACAAAAATTGGAAAAATATGTTGGGAAGCTGGAAACCACTTGGAGGCTGGCTCAGTTCTTTAATTTTTAATTCTGCCCAATCTGTCTGTAATTCTGTCTTTCCTACCCCCCTTTAAATATCAGCAGGATCTCCAGCACTTTGAATCACTCCCCTTTAGGTACAGAGACAGTCCGGATCCCTTTGACTGGGACTTAAGACTTTCCCAGTCTGATTTCAAGGTTTTTCCAGCCTTTCTATTTTCTGCTTTCCTTCTGAACCCCATATTCCAGTCAACTGAAATATTTCTGATCCCATTTCCGTTTCTAATTGCTACACTTTTTTTTTTTTTTTTTTTTTGCTACACTCATTTTTAAGACCCTCTCAAATGCCATCTCTTTCCTGAGGCCTTCTCTGATCACTCTACCATCTACAGTGACTCACACCTACTATTATAGCTATCTCCAGCCCACATTCAGCCATCTTTTTAAAAAATAATGTGCCTTCCTTCCTTTATACCATGTTTGAGGGACTACTATGGGCAAGGCATTAGAGCTGGTTACTGTGAATCAGACATAAAATCCTGTGTTCAGAGAGTTAATAGTATAATTGGGTTGATAAAGCAAGTATATACATAAGTACACAAACCTATAGAGCTGGCACTATAGGCTAAAAAAGTTTTTGAAATATTTGTCAAATTTAGGAAAAATAACAAATACAGTGAAGATAAGATTAAGGGCTTTGGAGAGTTTCCATATACCTGGAGTGATGAAAGAAAGCTTCTTGGATGAAGTGTCATTTGAACTAGGCCTTGAAAGTTGAAAAGGGTTTGGAGATTGGCCAGGGGAGAGGTGGAGGTGTGGAAGTGTGGGAAGTAGACATTTCAGAGAAAGGCAACAGCATAAACACAGAAAGGGAAAACTGCAGATTGTGTGGAGAACATACAGGTTGGTTAGATGGAGCACAGATGTGTGAAACGGAGTAGAGGGAAATTAAATTGGGAAAATTAAGTAAGGGCTAAGTTACAGGACACCTTGATTGATGGCCTCA